AAAAACTATTATGCATATATAAGAGCCAGGTTAATACTGATACATGGTGCTGTTAATGAAACACAAACAGTCATACTAAACTTTATCATTCTAAAGCAAAATAATACTAACAGTAAATAAAACAACTGCAACTCCTGAAATCCAATTCTAACAACTGTAATAAATAAATAAATAAATAAATACACAGATTACATTTGGGCCTGCTGATTAATGAGTTAGACATACAATTGAGAATAATACATGGCCAACTATTGGCAAGCATAATCATAATAAAACATAATATAATCTCTACCACTGTAACGTTTTAGAGATAACACAGGGACACCAAATGCGTTTTATGTTCTTAAAATTATATATTTCACAAATCAGATCAATCACATTTTGTTCGTCACAGCCAGTTGTATCAGCCCGCACATTTGCAACAGGCCGATTGTCCCGTTTTTAGTTATGGAAAACAAATATAATTGCCCGAAAAAAATCACGTGTGCGACAGTTTTATTCATATTGCTGTTCAAATGTAATTTAGCAGGATGTCATGTATGGACAGTTCCTAAAATATTGTGGCGAATCTGCCGTGCTCGTTCAAAGCCAGCAGAGCAAGATGGCGGCCCCTACAAAGCAGTAAGTTGCAAACAAGCTAACGTGATAATGAGAGTGTGTGATTAACAATAAACAATTGTTTCACCCGATTGTGGTTGTAGTTATGGGCACGATAAATCGCCCAAATTAAGACAGCAGCCACGGTATTGCAGTCAAAGGGTTATTTATTAAAACGGCGACCCATCGCAGCTCCTGCAGCTAGTTACCGATACGCTAACGTTATGCAAAAGTAGCTTATAAATCAGCCCGTACAAAGCTAACTTTGGGTCAGTTTTGTTTGTGTAATGTTTCACTTTTTATGTAGTCATTTATCAACGTCCTTATTTCACCATCTACATTTGTTCTGTTTTTGCCCTACCAATGACAAACTGTGATAGTGTGACAAACTTTAATATCTAAGTTAGCGTTCATCTTTCAAAATGCAGTTAATTTGATGCATGGCCAGTTGCCTTATCAAAAACATGTTTGTAGGAAATAACCCGTTTAATTATCAAGTAAACGTTCATAAAACCAGTATATGACTGGTCTTGCTACTAGAAAACGGAACAGTTGTAGTAAGCCCTTTGCAAATAGCTGACAAATTGCTTATCTCATTCGAATCTTCTGCTGTGGCTTCAGTGAACAGAC